GGGGGGGGGGGGCCGTGAATGTGCAGCCCCAGCTTCACTTTCCCTGGCCACGCGTGTCATGGAGCCCCCCTCCCAGCTCTCCCCAGGGAGGTTCCTGCCTCTCTTCCCAGCTCTCATCCCACCTCCAAGGCTCATGGGCACCTGGGCTGGGGTTGCAGACCCAGCCGTTGACTCAGAACTGCTTCTGAGAGTTGGAACCAGACTGAGGCTCTAGAGCTTTCACTCATAACCAAACCCCAGGGGGCCAAGAGAGCCCGGCAGGTGGCCCACAGGCCCACGGGCTCTCCCCCACTGTCCCCTTCAGGCCGTTTCTCTTTTCTCCTAAGCAAGGAGGCCCCTCTGCCCTCCACCAGCTGCTCCCAACCCCTCCCTCTCCCTTTGGCCACGACCCAGGCGGGAATGAGGGCCTCCTGCTGGGGTGCAGGCTGGGTACCACCCAGCTCTTTCCCCCTCTGCTGGGGGTCAGAATGGATCCGAGGGAGGGGTGGGCAGCCACAGGTCAGGCAGAGCCCAGACCTGGGCGCCCAGCTTTGCCTTGGTCCCCGTGCCACCACGAGCGAGCCTCAGCCTTCTCATCTGCACAATGGGTTGGGGCCTCCCGCTCAGAGAAGGGCTTCTGCTCCCATGTCTTCAGGGTGCAGAGAGTGTCCCCAGGGCCATGTGGGTGACAGTCCCTTTTACTATCATCTGCGACCACCAAGCCCACCTTCCTCCCCACCAGTCCCCAGGCCATCCCCTCCCCCAGGAGGCTGAGGGCGGCTGTCCTACCATGACAGGGAGCCGGAGGCTTCTCTAGAGGGTCTTGCTGTGCGCAGTCTCTTCCCACTGTGACGGCTCAGAGAACAGAGGAAGTGAGAATTGCACAACTGAGTAGCCCCCTCCCTGCCCATGGCTAGTGTGTGTGGGGGGGGTGCAATAAGTCAGAGGCCATTTGCATAGTCAGATGGCAGACGGGATACCCCCAGCCTCCTTCCCCTACCAGTGCTCCTCCACATGCCCCAGCCTCTCCTGACCATGCCTCGTGTCCCTCCTGGGCCTCACACCCGTCTCCTGGGAAATCTGGGAGACTTCATGAAGGCCAGAGCCCAGTCTAAGCTTCCTGAGAAACTGGAATTAGGGGCGGAGCCCGGCCTGGGCGGGCATGTGACACCAGGGCTCTCCCCTTTCACCCTCATGCCTTGGGCCCTCAGCCCTTGCCCCCAGGCGGCACCCTCAGGCCTGCACCTGCCCCTTCCTGGCCCAGTGGCCCCATCCCCAGAGCTCTTCGGGGCCTGGCGTGACTGGAGAGGGGGCATCGGCCTCACTCAGGCTGCACCTGCTCCTGCCCCCACCCCCAGCCTGCCACTTCCTCTAGGAGCAGGACCTCCCTTCTCTGTTTCCAACATCCTTGTGCCGGTCGGAGCGCAAACCCCATGGCTGGGCCAGCTGGGACCTCCTGGTTCATCTTCCCCAGTTGGCTCTTCCCACACCCCTCAGGCCCAAAGCCTCAGGGTCACCCCAAGCCCCCCAGCAAGTTGAGCTGGCTCCACTTTCAGACCTGCCCGTCGCCCGCCATCTTCACGCCCACCAGCCTGGTCTGGGTCGCCATCCTCTCTTGCCAAGACCAACACAATTGCTGCCTCCTCACAGGCGGCCTGCTTCTGCTCTCATGCCCGCAGCCTATTTACATTTGGCCCCAAGTCACAGTAGGTTCCTCCTCTGCTCAGATCCCTCCCTGGTCCTTTCTGGGGTCAAAGCCACAGTCCACACAGTGGCCAACAAGGTCTTATAGGATCTGCCTTCCCCTTGCCTCCCTGTCTCTGGCCGCACTGGCCTCCTTGTGGTGGTTGGACACACCTGTGCACTCTCCTGCCCCAGGGCCTTTGAACATACAGTTCCCTCTGCCTGGAAGCTCTTCTCTCAGACACTCCCATGTCACCTCCGTCGCCTCCTTCACGTCTCTGCTTGCACTCGCCCTCTCGATGGGGCCTTCCCTGACCTTTGTATGGCCTCGCACCACTGAGCCCCTTTTCCATCTGTTTCTTTGTCATAAGTTTTTACCAACTAACATACCATATCCTTGCTGTTTCATCTGTTCTATATGGTCTTACTGCCCGGCTGGAATGTCAGCTTCCTGAGGGCCAGGATCTTTTCTGTCTGTATCCCTGGGGCCCAGCCCAGTGCCCAGCACATAGTAGGTGCTCAGTCTTTGTTGAACCCATGGCTCTCCTGCACTCACCTCTGGGCAGGTAGAGAGTGTTTATCTCTGAGTGATGACGCGAGCACACACATACACGGACTGGACGCTCCAAGATTTCAGACACCCAGACACACCAGCCATGCCTCAGCCCCACCGAGGCTGGGAAATCTAGTGGGCAGAGCTTCCCTAGTGTGGCAGCAAAGAATGTCCCAGGGAGACCCACTGCCCCCAGGGAGACCCTGTCCTGCTCCCTTGACCTATAAATGTGACTGTGTTCCTTACACAATAAAGGGACTCTGCAGGTGGAGTTACGCGTTTGAGAAGGGAAAGTACCCTGTGTCACCAGGGCAGAGGGAAGTGACTATAACCGGAGACGTCATTTCTAAGGCAAAGGTTGAGGGAGAAGCGACCACAGGAGCTGGGGTAGTCGAGAGCATCAGAATCAGACGCTGGGCCCCGGCTCTGAACGTGGAGAGAGGGGGCCTCTAGCCACTGGGAAAGGCGAGGAAATGGGTTCTCCCCGGAGGCCTCCAGAGGGAACCAGCCCTGCCCCTGCCGACGCCCCGGTTTTAGCCGTGAGGCTCATTCCTGACGGGACGTGCAGGAGCTGTAAGAGAACACGTATGTTGTTTCAAGCCAGTGAGTTTGTGAACTCAGAGCAGCCACAGGAAACCAACACAGCAGCTCCCCATGCACAGCAGAGGTTGGCCACCTCCCGGCCGAGCTCCAGGCAACAATGGGACCTGACTGAGGCTGTGCCCTGGCACCCACGGGCACAGTTACACACACAGGGCCTCCCACTGCCCAGAGCCGGAGGTGCTCCCTCGGGGCCAGACTCAAAGGTTGATTTAAAAATATTTTATTCTTTAAAAAATACAGCATTCAACCATCTCTTCCTGCCGTGACCCTACCCCTTGTGGCCAAAGGCTTCTGGGCTGTGCTGGGACCCTTAGTCTCAGTTCCCTTGGAGGCCAAGTTCATGCCAGGGCCTCGGGACTGCAAGCAGGGTCCCTAGACACCCTGGGCACATGGATGGGAGGCAGGGAGAGCAGTGGGGGAGGGTCACAAATGCCAGCCCAGTGGCCCTGGAAGCTGCAGGAGCAACCGATGACCAGCCCTCCTGCCCCAGCAGAGGTGACCCTGCCCCGGAGCCCAGGCTGGGAAGGAGGGAGGTGACAGGGAGCGGGAGGCGGGCGGCCCTACAGTCCACACGCCAGCACGGCTCCGGCGCCGCCTCCTAGCTGTCCTCCCCGTTCTCGCCGGGGCCTCGAATGAGGCGCTTGTGGCCCCGCTTGCCGCCGGGGCCCTTGGGCTTGGCAAAGGCCTGCTTGAAGGCGTGCTGCTTGGGGTGTACCTCGTCATAGAGGAACTCGGCCGTCAGCTCGGCCCCGTCACCGATCTCGATCTGCGGGGGGCAAGGCAGTGTCACCCCACTCCTGGAGCACCCCCTTCATCTATCACACCCCATCCTGGGGTCTCCTCCCAGACACCCCCCACCTCGAAGCTACCTCCAGGGACACCGAGCCTGGGGCCTATTGCCACGCACGCTTCGGTCACCCCTGCCTTCCGGACCTGGGGACAGGAGACGCGGGTGCCGGGGCTAGGGCCTGTCCAGGCCGTTGGCCAGTGGGGCAGCCTTGGACAATGCATGTTACCCCTTAGGCCTGTTTCCCCACCCATCCGACAGGCAGCAGTGACCCCTGCTCTGCCACTGTCTCGGGGCTCCCACGCCCCATGAGGAGGGTGGGGTGACGGGGACTGGGGGATGGGCGCCCACCTTCTTGGCGATCTCCAGCTGGAAGTCCTGCTCCACGGAGTCGAGGAGGCGGCTCTTGCAGCTGGAGTAGAGCATACGCTCCTTGATGCTGCACTTGTACCCTGGCATCGAGTAGATGAACACTGCGGGGACAGGACGGGAGGTGAGCGGGGCAGCCCACTGCTGCAGGCCCGCCCTGCTCCCGCCCTGCCTGAGAGCGGGACCCCCCTGAGGCCACTCACCCACAGACTCGAGCGGGTCGCCCTCATGGGTGTGCCTGTAGATGAAGAAGTGGTAGCGGGCGGCCTCCCGAGGCACCCGCGAGGGCAGCTGGGCCACGTCCGTGGGCTCGGTGTGCACCAGCTCTATCGTCTCCCGCTCCAGGTCCAGCTTCTGCCGAGGGAAAGGGGGATGTGAGGGCATCGGACCAGGGAGTGGCCAGGCCCACCCACCAAACAAGAGTTCCGGA